TCAATTGAATAAATTGAAAATAGGAAACATAATAAATCGATTTCGATTGACTCCAATGTTTTCTTTGATATCCTGTGTATAGTATAAATATAGCGATTGTGAATTTAGGATTAAAACAATTTTTGGTTTTCTTTATCCCTAAGTTTGAAAGACTTAAAGCCATTAAATTTAATGAAAGCCATGATATTCTCGGAATAATTTCCAAATGAATTATTTATTTCATTTGATTAATTCAAAAGTTATGTTTATTAGAGAAGACATTAGGGAGAGAGAGAGAGAGAGAGAGAGAGAGAGTAATAAACACTCTAACAAATGAAATTAAACTTATAATTATAACAAAGATTATGAATTATAATTTTGCACAATACTATTAGATGACTTAATTTTTAATAATATTAAATGATATATTGGGCACATTACAATGATTTATAAAATAAAATTTCTAAATCGTTTAATATTTACAAACCTATCACTCAAGATCTCTAATTTGTAACAATTATTAAAATGAAAATAATTTGATAAATAGTTGCGCTATTGATCTGACAAAAAAAACAATAACAAATGAAATTATAGTGAAAGCTATGATAATGTGAATAAACATTATTCATATAAATAGAGAAAGTATTTTGTTTTTTACGGAAAGAGAGATGTTTTGTATTTAATGGTTACAAACTCATGATTTATCGATAACCATGAGATGCACCCATAGATTAACTCCTTTACATTCATACAATATTCTCTTATTTAAGACTTGTTCCCAAACATTAGTACTCAGAGTATATGTCTTTAAACATAGATTAGAAGCAAAACTTTTTACTCGACTCTAAAGCATAATATAATTTAGTTGCAAAATGTATGACAAGATTAATATAAATTTGTAGCAAAAATTTTTATATTAAATTAATTCAAATTACACTAAAGACTATTTATAATGTGTTTATGATGTGTCTGAACAGCCATATCCACAAACTGAAGACCAATGCCTTCAAGTCCATCAAACCTATTGTGACAACGATTTCGCTTTAAGTGATCTGAATGTGAACTCAACGAAAATAGGATGCGATGACTATAACCAACAAATGCAACCAAAAATCAAAAGAGTCACTATAATAAAGCCCATTATAAACACCTATCCATTGAGTACTTTGAGCGAAGAAAACGAAGAACTCTTGTGAGAAATTTTGTGTAAGATTTATGTCAATATATTGTATAATAAATTGTTATCTATATTAATATGTAAATATTTATACATACATCATTCAATTTGTATAACAATTTTCTATTGATTTTTAAATTTTTATCTCATAATCGGAATTTAATTAATTTGTGATTATTGTTATGTAATAAATATTTTATTTAATTGACTTTTAAAATTTTTTAGTAACGAGTACATATTGTAAGTATAAAGATTTAAATAATAAAATTGTAATTTAATTGAAATTTATTTTGCAAAATAGTCACTAGAATATAAATGATGCCATTAATTAACTCATGTTGTCATTACTAAAATAAAAATATAATAAAATAAATGATTAATTTGTAGACTTATACCAATAATGAATGTGTATTATTGTTATCATTCTTTATCTAAATATTAATAAAAAAAAGGAGAATTTGTTTTGTCGGACAATATTTCACTGATAAACAGCACTTTATGTCTGTGTTTGCCTAACATTTCATAAGAATCGAGAATTAGAATTAATGTGAAGTTAGAGATGATATAAAAAATAGTTTCGACCCAAAGTCACATTTTTCAAAAGTCACAGCAAGAAAAGTCTATGAAATAGTTATTCGACATAAAAAACACGTCCTTTTGTTGCATTATTTCCATCAACTGATACTCCATTACTTAAGGATCGGGAAGACAAACAAAATGTCTTTATATGTCCGCTGTTGTCAGCATTGACTAAAGCCTTTAAAGACATTTTGTCAAAATTTGTGCACTTTTTTAGTGAATAAATGATTTTTCATAAAATCGATACCAATTTCTTAGGATTTCTTTTTTATAATGATTTTAAGTATGAGTTTCAGTGAAAATCGCTTTGAATATGAATGAGAGACTAAAAGCATTTACTATTTGTTATCCAATAATTAATTTTTCTCTAAAATCTCTGCAAAATATATTAATATTGATCTCAAATTAATGTCAAAACTTGTGGAGCAGAAGATTGGAGGAGAATCTCTTAATTTGTCTAAAAGTCTTATGAGATGTGAATCTCATTAATAAATATATAATGTTTCATATTTGAGACTTAAACCCATATAATTTCAGTGACTTCAATCGAGTTAGTAATTAGTAAGTAGAGACCTCCCTGTCCTCATTAAACCAAAACTGCAGCCAAAATAATAAATATATAAATTGACAAAAAGTAAGTCAAAGTCTAATAAAAAGTAACGATTGATTGAAATCAACAAAAACAAGACAGAAAAATTGCAAACGAAATCTTAGTCTCAGAAATATGTCACAAATAAAGTCCTGACACTCTATTATGGCATCGGTTTTAGTGATGTATGAAATGTGCCGAAAGTAGCACATCATTAGCCGCACATCAAATCGATTATCAATAAAACTTACAATAAAAATGTTAGACTAAGAAAATACAGAATACTTGCCGAGACTTAATTTAGTCATGAAATTCAATTTCATTCACAATCACAGACTTTCGACTACTAAAAAAAGTTGTAATAGTTTGCAAAAGAAAATGAATGGAAATTATTGTGAATTTTCTTTTATGTTAAATGTTTTGGTGTATTATTTTTTGCCACTTTCCTCAACTGATTGATAGCGTAATTCTGTTAACAAAGAAAATATATCGATATTTTGCATTTTTATAATATAGACAAAATTAGATTAATTTCTAAATTTTTTTTTGAAATTGTTAAGGAGTAACAATAAAAGGTACATAAACATAATTACAAATTCCATCTAAGATTTAAATTGATTTAAATTAAGTACAATTTAAAAATAACAAATTAATAGTATAAATTCAGAATACTCGTAGATATGTGTTTCAAATGCTAGAGTAGAAATAAAATTATCTTATTAGAAAACCATAGAATTAATATTGAACTTAAGTTGAAATTCACAACTAATTTTCAATATGCAACTTTTAACAATACTGTATATTATGATATCCCCTTTTTATTAAACAATATCTCGTAGCAAAGAAATGTTTAATGCCATTTTTATTATACAGTATTTGTAACCCATGAAATATCAATATTTGAATAAATATGAACAATATATGAGACTCTGTTTATGAACATAAGAGATAGAGTAAAAAATATTCTGAATAACTTATAATAACTTATTGTTTGTATTGCTTTTAAGTGGAAGAATTGTAATACTGTATGACTGTATAGTTGGATCATTTCTAGTCTTAAATATATGACAATAGCCTCATATAATTATTGTTTAAATTTTGACTATATTACTATATAAAAAATATTCTGTGTATTAATTTTTAGCTAATGTATATATTATTAAAAATATTTTTAAGAAGTAAATGGAAATATCGATATCCATTACAGTATATACAAAATAAATTTTAAAAACACGATAACATTATCATTAAAACCTAATTAGATTTAGATTTGTGAAAATTTGTACAACTAAATTACATAAAAAATTAATTTCTAGACGTGAAGCTGAAGAAAATAAATGCAAATAGTTTTAAAAATATCATTCAATATAATACATAAATTGTTTGTTGAAATGAAACACACCTTAAATTGCTTTAAACATAAAAATAAATAGTCTATAAAATTATAAATGTTTTGAATACAGCCTTGAATTAGATTTAACGCCCAGAAGATCTCATTTTGAATAACATTTACAACATTTGCATAGCCTTTAGATATTCAGTACTATTTGTATGTATTATAAAAACTCATAAAACCAAACTCAAGATTTGATGTTTTCACAAAAACAAAATCAGTTATTCATTAAATAATATTTTGTAAAATTAGTATTTAATATTTCTATGAAATTAAATTATTTTTATAATTATGCGAATGCTAATAAAATCTTACCTGGTATTAAATAAAATAGTTTAAAAATATCTACTATATTCGCAATAATAATAATAATAATTTATGATTTTGAAAATAGTTTTATGAATTTTATCTCAAAAACAGTGGAAATATTTTAATGGTTTTAATATTCAAATTTGAGTTTTATTTAAGAAATTGAGTTCAAAAATTTAAAGTATGCCATAGATTACAGATTTCGACAATTATTTTAAGTAATAAAATAAATTTATGAAATTAGAAACTTATATTTGACAAATAATCTCAATTTTGAATTTATCTTACTGAATACGATTAATTTCACACAAATTAATTAATAAACTAAGATTTTTGGGAAAATATATAAAATTGACAAAATAATCTCTTAGAAATGAAAAATAGTGTATTATTATCTAAATATTAATCTCAAGAATCGATTAATGCAATGATTAAACTCCTAACCCGTCTCTAAATTTGAAAGTTTATATGAGTTCATCATTTGTTTTTCACTAAAACCTTTGCCACACAATCATTACTGAATGTAATTATATGCATAGATTGATGGCCAGAGGGGCCAATAGCCCTGAAAACACGGAAACATAATTTTTAAGAGCTTTCACCTGAAATCAAGTCTGAAGCTTAAACCATTACTATCACTGACTTACATATTAAAACAAATTGACTTTTTATTAAAAATTGTTTACTTTCTTAATTGCAAAAAATGGTTGCAATTAATAATCAAAATATATGATTTGGTTGTAAAAATATATTTATTAATTTTATACTATAACATTTCATTTTAAATAAATTATTAGTTCTTATTATTTGAAATGATATGAAAAATCATTGAATGAAATTAATTGTAAAATTCTTACGCCAATTGAATGATTTGTATAAAACTTTTGTGTAAAGTATATATTAATTAATAGACAATTCGATTCATTATTATTTATATTATAATCTATGAAACTGTATCATACTTTTATATAATCCTATTATGAAATGTATAAAAACAGTTGTCATTCACAAAGTTATGGCATTACTTCAAATTGACTTTATATGTGGTTTCGACATAACATGACATTCAGCCCATGAATTGATGATATTATTTGCCCACAAGTCTCACACCCGACTGGGATGGCCTGAACTGCTGGGGAGTGGGAGCATTCTGGGGCTGTGGTCGGGCCTGAGTACCTGAGCTCGGCTTATTGGCATTGGAGTCACCCTGCTCCTCCTCGTCATCTTCCGGGTTGGCTGTAGTCGGCGGCGGTTCACTGATAGCACAGTTAGACAATTGTATGAACGAGAATGCATACTATAAGACAAAGTGTACAAACCATCCAGCTACAGTGGACGCCAACTCGCATCTCAGTGCGGTTGGGTTGAAGGCCAGACCAGCCGGACATCTCTGGAGACGGGGATAACCTCCGACACAAAGCCAGTATCGGACACAACTCTTCTCGATGAGAACGGCTCCGTTGGGCACATCCTTACAGATGGCTATTGATTGAAACACAAAATTAATTTGTAAAACAATTACGAATAGCTAGACATTAGTGTAAAACTAACGGTGCTTTTGACAGTCGGGCACATTGTCGGGCCAATCACAGGAGTGGATGACATCGTTGTAGAGAAGTGAGAAAGGACATTGCTGGATAGTGGCCGTTCCGTTCCAGCAGTGCCAGTATCGGGTGCAAGAGGTGGCGTGAGGGAAAACCCCGTACTGCCACTGGCAGTTGTCACCACCAATTGGTTGCTCTGTTCACACCACAAGACATCACTGTATTCTCTGTATATACTGTACAGCAAATGCGTTCAACTTACGGCCCATCACTCGGGTGCCATCGGGACAGCCAACTCTATGGGGATAATCGCAGTTAGTGACGAGTCCTCTCTTGTGTCCGGCAAATGCCAGACCATTAGGACAGGCCTCGATCACTGCCTCCCCACTGGCGTCGCATTGATAGTAGTAATCGCAGTACTCTTCGTGCGGAAAAACTCCATTGTTTTTATTTCTGCAAAGATTCTGAGCCGCCTGTCCAGCGCGGGCTTGAGTCAGACCTGACAGTTACCCATATAAACATTATTTCAAACATTGCACACAAAGTTTTATAACTGCATAATAACTGTCAAACATTTATAACTATATGTGATATGCTCTTTTTATAATACTGTAGTACTTTAAATTTAAGCTAATGACAATAAGTTATATTAATAAAATAAATCTTTCAAAAAATAAAGATTTCTAAAAGTTTTCAAAGTTAGTAAAAGACATATGCATTAGACATAAGACATAATACATACCGAAATCAAAATTAGTGGCGAAAAGAACGAAAAATATGATCAAAAACTTCATAATTATTGTGATTATTGTGTGAACAGAATACGAGTGAACACTCACTGATGGTTAGTCTCTTCCACACAATTCTAATCAATTCTTTCGATACAATGACCTCTCATTGGAGTCGAAGAAATGGCACAACAACTCCAAAGTGGGACGACTACCAAATCTGAGCGCACCGTCAGATTGGCTGACCTACAACTTAGTGCATGTCTTACAACATATATTTATGATTCATAAAAATATAGAGCACTTCGATTCGACTTAAAGGAAAAAAATAGAAATAATTAATTTTATCAAAAAAAACTAAATTCTCATAAAAAGATAAAGCGATTGGCTTTTCAAAGTAAAACTTCCATTCAATTCATTAAAAATAATACTTCAAAACTTGTCTCTAAAAAAAGTTATAAACAATTCTTGAGTCTAAAAGTGTTTTTGGGTGTGGATTAGGAATACACTTAACATGTATTTTCTAGAAACTTCTCAAAACAAGATTTTCAACACTTTTCTCGTATAATCTTTTTATTAATTTTTATGTAAATGTGCGTCAATCTAATTATAAAATGCTTTTATTTTATTTTATTTATACAGTACCAATCACTTGTTTTGGAACTTGTTTTCACATTTAAATAAATCAGTCATTAATTTCTCTGTAATTAAAATATCTTTAATTAAAATAAAATAGTTGTAAAAACAACTTTGGATTTTTAATTTTTATATATTTTGTGTAAGTTGAATAACAAAATTGCAACAAAAAGTTTGAAAATTAAAATCTAAACTATTAAAAGCTACATAAACCATTTTTAAACTAGCTATATTTAAACAATTTAAACAAAAATCAGAAAAGTTATGTAAATGCAGATTAATGTATTTAAAACTAAGGCACTGACATGATAACTAGCATTTGCTTTGTAGACTTGTGTCCAGGTATTTAACATTAGTTTAAGACTTGTGTTACAAGAATAATATAATTCTTGTCATCATTTCAATCTAAAAAACTCTACAACTCTTTATGACATCTTTTATCCGACTCTACAAACAATTCATTGATTTTTATGCTTCCGTTTAATTATAACACTTATACGATACTCAATGAGTACTTAAAGTGAAAATAAGTGTTTTAAATACAAATTAATGTCAATATTAATGACAATATGTGGAGTAATCCCATAATTAGAGGATAGCATTGAATGACAGACAATAAGATTCTGTGAATGAATGCCTCAATCTTGGGATCAATTTTGGGTCAATTGTTTGGGACGTAATTAGTGTCCGTCTCTTCATATCAACAATCAATTGATTACAAAAACTTAGTTTCAATTGGTTTTTGAAAAAATCACAATTAATTGAACAATTATTTTGTGAACTCAAGTGTGTTTTCAATGCCAATGCAATACATAATTGCATTCAATCGTTGAGATTAGTGTTGAGTTGTATTCAAAACAAATAAAAACAACTATTTTTGAGTTCAAGTCATAAAAAGCGGTGAGTTTTGAGAGTTTTTTAATGAATTTGCAATTAATGTGAAAAAATTCAGGGATAATAAGGCTATTAAGTTATGGGCCTATAGTGCCAATGCTTTCCCACTTTATATATGGTTTCCCTTTTGATAATTAAATAATTTGTTTAAAATATTTTAAATATTTATTTAATTACTTTGGTTTTGGTTTTTTAATTATAATTATTAGCATTAAATATTTGAATTAAAAATCACTATAACTTGGCATCTGTTATAAGATTTAACTACAAGTTAAGAGTCCACACAAACAGTGCATTCAATTCTGTACTCTATTTCTTGACTCCAAATCTAATCTCAATTCTTATCAATAGTTTTCAAATGAATTCATTTCGCAAATACTTTTGAGATATTTTTCATTTAATTGAAAATTTGTTGTCAAAATCTGTGAGTTGTGCCAAAACTACAGTTTGACAACTAATTGATGATTTATTTGATTGCATTAAATGGTGACAATTGATGACAAAATAACTGATATATCATTACATCTCTTGCGAGACTCAATACAGACCATACTTTTTAAAGTTTAGAAAAACTTTTACAATTGTAACCCAAATGTTCACACATTACTGTAAACTCTTCAATAGTTTTATCTATATTTAGTAATCTTTTAGTATTTGTTGAGTAATTATAGATTTGTTATACAATGAGTTAAGTTATTGGAGACCAAACTCTCAAAATGAACTCAATTTTCATATTTTGGTTAATTATTATAATTTCTTTTCATTTCTGTCATTCACTTGAGAAGATATTTGGTTTAACTGTAAATCAATAGAGACTATGAATAGTAATAATTAAATAATTATTATCAAATACAAAGATATCATATTTAGTCTATTTTATGTTATGATAAGTGATTCCTTAAGGGTTAGGTTTTGTTTGATGACCAATAATTAAATGCTTGAATTTTAGTCGAAATGTGTATTTATAATAAGTCAAACTTTATATAATATTTATTAATAGATTCTGATTATTCCGTAATTCACTTGTATTCTAACTTTTACATTAATAATAAAATAAGATTTTGATTTATATGATTATTTTATGAATATTTTAATGGTTAGAAATAATGAAATATAATATATGTAAATTTATTTCAAGACTTTATTAAATAATGCAAATTAAGTGTTTTAATAGTTTTGTATGCAAGAGAGAGAGAGAGAGAGAGAGAGAGAGAGAGAGAGAGTATTTTAATTAAAATCTTATAATTTTCTGTGATTTCCCCTAAGATTTACTTTAATTNATTCGTTAATTAAAAAGAGGCTTTGGTTTGCATAGAGAGAGAGAGAGAGAGAGAGTATTTTAATTAAAATCTTATAATTTTCTGTGATTTCCCCTAAGATTTACTTTAATTCAAATATTTTTTATTATAATTAATAAAATATAATTGAAACCAAATACTCAAATTTTTTATAAAGTTTCTTGAATTTTTATTTTTTTAATTATTTAAAGTGCATTTGTTTCCAAAATAATAAATTTAAGAAAAGCAAAGAAACTGATAATATGTATAATTATTGTGAATATCGATTAACTAATTGTCAGGGAATTCAAGTAATTTATTGAAACTGAGGGCTAATCTGTATTTGAAATGTCGATATCATTAGTGAAGGCAATCGAAAGGAACCCAAAAATAAAACAATTTTTAAGACAAAAACTTAATCCCTGCACTAATCCTTGAATTAACCTTACGATGATTTTTTAAATACAATGGTTTTGAAACAGAATTTTATATTAATTGATTTGACATTTAAACTCAAATTTTAGAATAATTGTAAAATTTGTGAAATTGTTTGGATTTGATTGAAATCTTTGAAATATTGATTATTTGAGGTATTGATTATCCATTTCTGTTTAATAAAATATTAGTTTATACTTTTAAAATGGATATATTTAATATTTAACCACTTTGATGTTATCTATTCTTTCATTTATAAAATGTTACTATTTTTAGGAAAAGTAGTGAAAAATGAGCAAATATTCAGCCCTTTTCTTTGGTGCCTCTGTTATGGATCTGATTACGTGAGTGGATCTTATTTGTAATTTTTGCACATTTATTTCAATAATAATTTGACACATTATGGCACAGATATACGAAAAGATTTCCAGATCCCGGTGAGACCGTTAGTGGCACACAATTTCGCAAAGGAACGGGTGGAAAGGCGTCCAATGCTTGCGTAATGAGTGCCAAACTCGGATTATCGGCCGGAATGTTGGCTAAAGTAATTATTGCTCACATAATATATTAAGTTATAAATTACATTTTCCCTTATATTGAAATTGATGGCAAATAGATAGGAGACGATATTTTCGGACACGAAATGATAACTAACTATAAGAAATACAACATTAATATTGGTATTTACAAACTCTAGACATTTTTGTAGTTTCTCAAAAAACTTCATTTTTTTAGATAATGTTTTGCTCACTAAAGATGTGTTCACAGCGACGGCCGCTATAAGTGTTGCCGAAAGTGGTCTGTATTTTAGTCTAAAATATAATTGAATTATTTGTAATATTAAATACACTCATGTTTATTATAATTGTTAATGAAAATTCAAGGTCAGAATACAATCATATATGTGCCGGGACCTACAAATCTTTTAATGCCTGCTGAGATTTCCTCAATGGAAGCCAAATTGTTTAACAGTAATTGTAAACTATTTGTGCCGACATTTGAATGCCTTCCCGAAACACTATTTCAAGCGTTGACTATAGCCCGCAAAAGTGGAGGTAAGCCTTCATTTCCTTCCATTTTATTATAATTTATGTTTATTTCTAAAATAAAATTCACTTCAAAACTAATTTCTAATTATTCAATATACTATTATACTATTACATAATATTATTAAGTAATTTTAATTAGACTAACTTAACAATAATAACATAGTTAGTGGATTCAAGTGCTACTTCAATTATTAGTAGCTCTTAAATGACGTTTTGTTTGAAATTGAAATATGGGCTCATATTAAGCACGAGTTTGAGAATTATTTGAATGCTTTGGAAATATATTTAGAGCCCACTTAAAACTATTATTGTTCATAAGATTTTTAATTAAATTTGTGTGTTTGTGAACTTAAATTTTGAGACTATATTATTGTAATAGTTATCCTAAATTTTAACCTATTTATTTAGCAATAATTGAATTTTTAATGCCTGCTGAGATTTCCTCAATGGAAGCCAAATTGTTTAACAGTAATTGTAAACTATTTGTGCCGACATTTGAATGCCTTCCCGAAACACTATTTCAAGCGTTGACTATAGCCCGCAAAAGCGGAGGTAAGCCTTCATTTCCTTCCATTTTATTATAATTTATGTTTATTTCTAAAATAAAATTTACTTCAAAACTAATTTCTAATTATTCAATATACTATTACATAATATTATTAAGTAATTTTAATTAGACTAACTTAACAATAATAACATAGTTAGTGGATTCAAGTGCTACTTCAATTATTAGTACCTCTTAAATGACGTTTTGTTTGAAATTGAAATATGGGCTCATATTAGGCACGAGTTTGAGAATTATTTGAATGCTTTGGAAATATATTTAGAGTCCACTTAAAACTATTATTGTTCATAAGATTTTTAATTAAATTTGTGTGTTTGTGAACTTAAATTTTGAGACTATATTATTGTAATAGTTATCCTAAATTTTAACCTATTTATTTAGCAATAATTGAATTAATAGTAGATTAAATGTACATATAGTTATTGACTAAGATCCTGGTCAGTTCCCACGCCATTCTATAATAGAGTTGTTTATACTTAAATTATACGCGAATTATGTTGAGTACTGTAGCCGTCCTATGGATTAAAATATTCTGTGTTTAGAATTAGTGCAGATTATTATTCATATGACTATTATTATGAAACCAAATCTTGTATGAAACGGATTAATGATTTTGAAAACATGAATAATCTGATACAAACAAGTGTAAACGAATTCAATTGAATTTTAATTTATATTCATTACTATTAATCATTAGCCTTTCAATTTTTAGTTTCACTTTTTACTAATTTATATCTTTTTTCTTCCTATTTTTCGATATAAAAAATTGTTACGGAATTTTCGTTTTGTATTATTCTCATCAATCAATTAATTGAATAATTCATAAAATGTTATATAAAATTAAAATCAGAGATCATGTTGTCCTGATGCATGACTTTTAGTTGTGATACAATTTGTCGTAGAATTATGTGATCTTTAGATTTATTTTTTATTTGAATATTTAATCCAATTGTATCTTTATTTATTTATTTATTTTGACAAGATATTTATATTTTTATAAAAGCATACATATTCTCACATTTATGCAATAAATAGTATTAATAATTTTATTTAAATATGCAATATAAATTGTGTATAAATACAGTGACCGTTTAGTTATCGTGTAACATAGAAAATTTGACAGGCTAATAATCTAACATTATTGTCTGAAATTTTATACGATATTTTCAATAATATCTTTGGAATATTAGGATATAGTTTTAGACATATTAGAAACCTTTCAGTGATATTGTTATTACAAAGTTGGAGTCTTCGTAAATCACAACACAAATGATTATTAGTACACTGTGGAACGTGCTTAAATGATCATGTTGAAAAATATACTCAACAC